TAATGCAGCTACATTGTAAATGTATTTCTTGTGGTGCCCCTTTGAAAAGAATGGGTTCACCCCAGGTGCTCCCGGACATTTAGCCCTAGTTTACACCACTAGCACTACATAGGTTTCAAACAGGTGGGCGTGCCCCAGTAGTTATGCCTGTACAGAGGCGGAGATGCGGGCTGATGATCGACGTGACCTAAAGAAGTTTTATAAGGGAAGCACATTTAAACAAGGTGGTTCTGTGCACAGTGCCACAGTGCAACACGGTAATTCCTCAAACAGTTAATTAATGATGCTACGTCCGAGTCTATGCTACCGAGGGAGTTTGCGCAGTACGTATCCACGTATACGCAGAGCAGATGATAATAATTAAGGCATTCAGATTTTAATCCCCAAACTAGTGTCTACATGTATTTTTACCTGCAAAGAGCCGACAGGCAAATGTTTTTTATACAACACGCTGGGGAAAACCAACACGAATAAAGGCTATAATCTAGGCTCTGGAGGGTTTTCTTTAATGAAAGTCTGCCATTTCAACAGGCGAAGCTTCCGCGAGGCATGCAGATAGACTAGTCTCCTCTCAAGAAACATTTTCCCGTAAGAAAGTACATGGGTGTTGGACTAGCTGGTTTACGTCCCATACTAGTCTCCAGACGTCCTCCGAACGTAGGGACTGGTAGCGGGTAATGAATCCGGCAGAATACAGCTGGATGCATGTATGGGGAAACGATGTCCACTCACTGATGTAAAACTCAGGCAGGGGCTTTTTCTTATTCGTTGCAGAAAATAATTTCACCATAAATTGTTCAGTTATCTATAAATTTTAATACAATAAGTACTGATTTGAAATAAATTGCCTCAAAATTATTTATTGACGACAATCATTAAAAGTAAGTTAGCATGCATGCACTCTGATCAACAGAAGATAGGATAGGTATTTGTGTTTTTTCGCGACCCTGCTGAAACATGCTTCATACTAAATCGTTGTTATTGGCATGATAAAACACAAAAAAATTCAGCATCCAAATTGACAGAGCTAATCGCACACTTTAAATCGCAGCTAGTAGCTAGCTACCGGTCCCTATATAACAAGGACAGGGACCAGTCCAACATGTCCTCGGGCAGTTGCGTTATGAAACGCACGCAACCGGGAGCCTCATTAGCATTGTCTCAGATTTCATTGACGTTTTGTTTTGCACGAAGTCTGTACGTTTTTTGCTTGATATGTGTTACAATTTTATTTTTTAAATTAACACACAGTTTTCGAGAAATACCCGAATTCTTTTCCTGAGTAAACCCATAGAGCAAGCTTTGCCCTATGGTCATCACAGGCAGTACACGAGAGGGCGCCGTTCAAAGTATAAAATGCCAACTTCTAAATAAGCTAAATTTGTGAGTTAAATTTGAATAAAATCTGATGCACTGAGTTATCTGACTGCACATAAACGTAACAATTTGAATTCCCCACAATAAAGACATGTTACCTCGTGATTTGCGACAAGCTTTGTATCTGCATAGCGACCACCATCTCTGGAATGGCCGGACTGGTTCCTTTGTGCCCTTCTTATCCGTTGAGACACGTACATATCATGCAGTGTATCGTTGCAAAGCGCCTGTTAATTAATTAACTAAGCAAAAGCTTGCCCCGAATCACTGTGGTATAGCAACAGTTTTAGTAAGGAGAATTCAAGTTGTTATGTTCACTGTGAATTTAAAGAACTCTGTGTACCAGATTTGGGTCAATTAAAGCTACTCGCAAACAGCTTACTGGAACGGCCGAAGAAAGCAAAGGCCTCCTCTTGTACAGCATTTGTATAGATTTGGTTCTAAAGGATCCTATAGAGTTTCTACAGAAAATGTACAATAATTCTTTAAATTTTCTATAGACTTTCTTTTAGACTTTCTATAGGGGGCCTACAGTTCTTTAGAGCCCTCAAAAGATTCTATAGCGAATCAATATATATTTTCTATAGATTTTCTAAGACATTTAAAGAATTTTTCTAAAGACCCCTGTGG